GACAAGTTGACAAGAGCACAAAGGCCGTGGCAGACACCCTCGAGCGAGCGGCAAGAAGGGAAGGGACAAACGCGCGGAGGGTGGGAACGATGGTAGGGGAGCGTCGCGACGCTCAGCGACGGAGGATTGCCGGATGGCGGGGAGCCTGAAAGCCCGGTAGATCCGACGCCGCGAACAAAGGGTGGCTCACCCCATCGGGGAGCCGGGAGTTTGGGGGAGAACGGAGATACCGATTTACTCGGAATCGCGAAGACGCACGCACATTTATACGTGTGTACGCGCGAGCGTGGGCGAGTTTCGGGTTTGTAGGTTCGCTCGACCGATCCGATAGATACGCCGCGGGCCTAATATCGAAAGTTAAGGGCGAAGCTGAAGCTCGTGCTTAATTAAATCGAAAGACCGTGGGAGATAATCGCCGTTCCCCGAGCGGCTGAGGTCAATATATGGTGCCGGGCAATTTGATTCTCGCATGGCAATTGAAAATGAATGGAAACTTAAACGCCGGCGATATCTTGCAATTAGACGAGTCGATAAATAATTTAGAATGAATTGACAGAGAAAATTTTCCAGGATTATTATTTCTCATTCGTCGTTAAATTTTATATATGTGAAAAAATATTTCATCTAATTGAATATATATATATAATTTATACTCAATTGAATATTGTTGATTGGCACTTTTGAAAAGATATAACATGCAAATTCAAAACTCATCATATATCTTCGATGCGATCCCATAGAATTTCATCCCCGCCTGGAGGTTGCAAAAGAAACAGGAAGCGAAAAGAATACGGGTTCGCGCCCGTAAAAGCGCTGACAATTTTTCACAATGGAATGCTGTACCGCGTGCCGATAACCGTTCAAAGGGCAATAAATATCTTCGCTAACCACCTTCTATAAGGCAGCCTCCGCAAAAGCGTTCCATTCATACCGCGGTATAACGTTAGCGTGGGCACCGACTCTTCCCGTTTCCGTACCCCCTTCTCGTCACACACCGCGCTTCAGCCCACATTGATACACATATCGACTCCCTTATGGTTTACGAGCCGCCGCTGTGATTTATCGCGCTTGAAAATACCGCACGGCGTCATTAGAAACATCATTCGTATCTCGGAACGTCTATCATTCCGCGCACCCAAAGTAATTCAATGATCCACGCGCCGCCCTTGTCCAACCCTTTCGTTCCAAACATTGTTAATTCGCGTCATTCATGTACGCGTTATGCGCTTAAAAATGTAAAAAGATCTCAAAAAGCAGATTTAAAAAAAACGGAACATTAGACGGAAGATTAATTTAAAAAACGGGATTATTACACCAGCAGTATTATTTCAGAAAAAATAATAATATTATATTTTAATAATATAAAATACTTGTCACATTTTAATTGTTAAATCACTAAAAGTGCACGGAAAAATATAATAATTAAAGTAAAAAAATATATAAAATTATATTCGTATAAAATTAAACATCAGCTGTTTTCGCAACTTTCTTATTAATCGCTTTAACAGCTTATAATTACGAATATAATTTAACCGCGTCTTAGAAATTAATACACTAATTACACCGATAAAAGGAGTTATTATAAAATTAATTATAGAAATATTTTGGTTTGTCTTGAAATTATGATAATAAAAAAATATTATTGTGTACTTGCTTAAAATTGTATAGGATATCTGATGAACGATACGCTCTCTCAAGTGAAAAAAGCGATAAAAATGTACAATCGCTTTCGACCGTATGATACCGTTCATTCGTACGGGATTACCCCTTTTGCTTTCCGCTCTTCTTCACGCTTACCAAGCTTCTCTTTCACACTACATGTTGCTAACCTCATACCTGCGCAGCCACTAAATCAGAAACGCAGCGAAGCGTCTTTCGTTCCCGTCGCGTCGCGGTGCCGCGAATCATCCCTCTGTACTATATATAGGGTTTTATACTTGCTATCTGGAAAGGTAGACAGGATAAATGTATGGAATCCGATTCAAAAAAGAAAATGTCCCTGCACATTTTTCAACGCAGTCAATGAGATCTGCTTGGTATATAATAGTGATGAGACAAGTTACTTAATCAAAATTAAAAATATAAAATTCGCATTTTATCAGATATAAATTCGACTCGAAAAATTATATTTATACATCAATGAAATACATGATAAAATAAATATAACAAATTGCAAATTTCGTAATTGAATTTATAGAAATTTACGGAATTTAATTATCTAAATTAATTAAATATTTAGATAAACAGAATTTTTAGATAACAAAAGTGGCAAATAAGAGCCAGAACAAAGGTAATTAAAGTGCAAGAAAAAAATTTGCATTTTTAATATACTACAAAGTATGTATATTCAATTTCATTAAAGTTTCGTATTCATTGAATATTACAAATTATTTTTTGATCCATCACGAACCAAAGAAATGATCCATACGTAGTGAATAATAACAAAATTGAATATTTTTGAATATATTAACAACAAAATTTTTTCCTTGCACTTTAATTTTTTTTTACTATTTTTATCACAGTTTTTACTTTTATCATTCTTGTCATTTAATAATTGTTATTACCTTGAGCTTATTTTCTTGAATTTAGAATTTAAAAAAATGCTAATAAAGTGAGATTAATCATCATGATTATATTCCCAAGTTGTGATAACTCGCAGAAATCAGTATAATATCGATATGAAGAAGCCGATGTAGAAAAATAATCCTATCACCGAATTCCTCGTAATCGCGCATAATCCTTTCTTACTACAACGAAAGACGATTATCTTTTGATCAGATTAATCCTTTGCCGGTGACCCTCGTCAAATCCAAGGGTTTGTGGCTCATTAAATATTCCTGGGGTCCCGATACCGTATCGAAATGCCTCTTATTGTTCGACGTGATTGTATGGCATGTTACGATAATAGCCATTTAGCGACACTTGAAGACGCATTTCCCCACATCGATAATTTTTTATATTTTATTTTTTTATGTAACCGAGAGACACCACCTAGATATTCATGTTGCGTCGTCCAATCGCCATCGTGTTCCCCGATGCAACGAAGCGGCGATCGCGTGCGTGACGAAATGAAAAACCGGAAAGCCGGACCAGGTCAACCATTATACGGGATGACTTTCTTATCTCTTCAGGTAACCGAATGACCTGTCATGCTCTTACTACCGAGTTACCTGTGCGCTCTCCCGCCATCCGAAAATCGGTTTCCGGATCCGAGGCATTCGACTTTTCAAGATCTTAATCCATGATAATATGAGGGTGTCGCGCATTTATTTTCACGTTCTAATGATAGAAATTAAAAGTATCTAATGTATAGCTATATGAAGCGATCATGGCATGCACTTCTTCAAAAGTGAAATCGAGAGATTGAAAATTTGAGAATTAAGGATCCCCTTCTTTAGACAATTTATAATTCGCGATAAAATTCAAGACAAAATTCTATTTATAAATTTTACGTGTTTAGGTTATATAGAAAATATTTAAACGTGTAAAATACATACAAATCAAGATGTACAGTGTGTTTTGATTTAATGTATACATTCTATTATTTTTGTAAATAATAGAGTTATAAAAAAATTCTAAATTATTTTTTTAAATATTGTCCATAACAGTTATATTTTTTAAAATGAAATAGTATATCTGTTAACTACAGTTTTGTAAGACATTTTACGATAACTTCGATAATGTGTAGTAAAGTGACAATCGTTTACAAAATGTATTGTTTTTAAGTATGAGCAAAAAAATAAAATAACTGTATTACTTAAAAAACAAACAAACTCTATTATTATTATTTATATATAAACAATTTCTATTATGAAAAAAAAATAAGACTATACACATTTAAATCAATTCTATGCAATAATGCTTTCACTCGAGCTACACATAAAATTATAAACAGAATTCTAGAATTTTGTCGCGAATTATCGTCCATCTGAAGAAGCGATCGGAATACAAAGAAACATTGATACATTCACCGATCGATAAACTGTTCGTTAAACGATCAAGCCTTCAGTTGTCGAAGAGGCGCTTATCGAACGGTCAAGTCACCGCGAGTCGAGAGCGAAGAGTAACCCCTTCGCGATACTGGTTTCTTTCATCGGCAATTCGTTGGCGCGCGCAGACATACCTTTCTCCACATGATCCCTCCTCGTGTAGCTTCCTCGTTGGCTAATATCGCGACGATTCTTACGCACATCACTCCCGCGCGCGGTAAAACTCCTCGCGCCCAGCTATCGGTTAATTAACATACCAGGTAGCGGCGCGAGGCTCGAAGACGAGCAGGCCGGCGATTACGCGGCGGACGTGTCGTCGTGGCCGTCGTAGAGCGTCCTTATCAGCGCGCGCCTCGCGCGTTGTCAACCGAAACGCGAAAAAGCTAACCGGCTGTCGGCAGACTGTGCAAACGGTGCCAATTAGGTGTACACAGGTGTCAATTTGTCGGCGTCCCTCGCGCGTCACGCTTTCGGATCGCGATGGAGGAATCTCCCGGCGAGAACGGAGCAATTTTCGCGCCCGCTTTTAGGCGGTATCGCGCACATCGCGATGTAAGCTAATGACGACCCGGTAATTAGTCCCGCGGTGAGCACGCTGATGTAACGGATCGTGCTCTGGAACGGTGTGGCTGTCGACCGAAATCTAGGAAGTGCTCCGACTTTTTAATCAACCTTCCATATCTCTCATGCGCGTGATCTCTCCGTTCGACGTTGAGAATTTAAGCGAGAGGTTCAGAACCGCGATCGATGCTTGGCGATTAGTTCCTCTCCCGGACGATGCAGTTTGCTGGATAAGAAGCGGTATTTCCGCTCGAGTGATTCTTTCCGGGATTATCAATTATAACGCTCGCTCCCCTACGCGGTGCGTGTAATCGAGCGATTGTATCTTGAAAAATGTAGACTCTCGTCGCAATTATAATTCTCGACAAGTTTCCCGATGATCTCGAATGCAGATCGAATCGCGCGTGAACGCGATCTTGCGACACGCGTGTGCGGAGACTTAATTCACTGTGTTTGACGTTACACGTGCGCTTGATTGTGCGCGCTCTTCGGAGGAACTCGTACGTGAAATTTCCCTCTCCTCGTTCACGAAAGAATAATATCCGTGTCCACGAGTCACGAGATCAATTAACAAGTCTCTGGGGACAAAAAGAGTAGACGATCGAACTTTTCGAGCAGTTGTATTATCACCTCTCTCAACTTTTCTTCGTACTTTCGAGCGCTACAAGCTGACAGCGGGACGTCTGTCCCGAATACACACGCGATGCAAGCCGCGCGAGTCGACGTGTGTCAGAGCTCTTCTGACTCGGCAGAAGCACAGACAGAAACGAAACTACGAAACTACACAACGTGACTAACGGCGCACAGAAAAGCGAGCGTGGTCGTGTGCGTGTTCACGTGCGTGCGTGCGTGCGTGCCAGGGGAAGGGGGACGAGAATGGAGGAGCCGACAGAGAAGGCCAAAGAGGGAGAGAGAGTGGAAAAATGAAGAGAGGGATGGAAAGAGCGCGGCAACGGAACGCTGGGATATCCACCACGCGCTAACCAATTCCGCGAGCGTCGCGCGCGTGCGTGTGCGCGCGCACACTAATGTACGTGAATGTGTGCAGAGAAGCGTATCCTCCCGTCGAGCGTGGAACGGACGAGAGCGTCGAGCTGTCAGCGCACCCCACCCCGAAATCCCCTTTGAAACCAATCCCTCCCATCGTGACAAACTCCCCCCCCTCCCTTCTCTCCCGTGTCGCAGGCTCTTTCCCTTGACTAGTCGTTCCTCCATCCCTCTTCGGACAACCCCCGGCTGTCTCAACGTCGAAAGCACTGCGCGCCTCGCACGAAAGCCGAGTAATAAGGAAGAACTACTCTCGTCCATCTCCTGACGCGCGGATCAAAATTATCTCTCGATATACAATAAATACAAGAAATTCTGCATGCAAGTTGTAGATTGTCTTGTTTGTTAATTATATATCCTTTTGCGTTAGGATGAAATTTTTATCTCGACTAACGAATGGTGGATTCCGAAAGGAAAGAGATGAAGGGACGAAAGAGGAGAGATGCGCAGAGGGAGGAAATACGAGGGAACGCCGGAAAGACGACTCGATCCCTTTCATTTCCACTGACGCGGACGAATCATAATTCTTATTCGCCTCCGGCTCGAAATCATCCCCTCCTTCTCGGCGCTCCTTCCGGTATTCTACCTCGACCTCGGCTTTGCCCATTTCCTTTCTGACCACCCCACTTTCGCATCGGAGCGTGAACACCCACCCCGAAGCAACCATAGCGGGAGATCGATGCGCGAAATCAAGCGGGGTGAAAAATGTTTATTAAATATTTAGTAACATCTTTTAAATGTTCAAACGTATTTTATATATTCGCATTTCTCTTTTCACTTGTGTTACTTTACTTTTTCATTTAGAATATCGAGTCTGGAATCAAGTCCCGGATCCTTGAAGCGCAAGAATGTCAGCCGGCAGTCGAAGAGCCGGCTCGCAACAGCAGGCCAGTTAGGGAAAGGTAACGTGAAAGACGTTTGTATGCCCGTGGATGAAGAAGTATACGTACGGGTCGACATTAGGCTCGAGGGTTTGTCGCTGACGACCAATATAAGGGATCGCCATTGTTCGACACCCAGAGACTGACCTTTTATTAAGCGACGAGCGGAAAGTGCGAATTTTACTAACATGGCCTCCATTATTACATGAAAGACACACCAGAGTTTGCAAAACCGAGAATAATTCAATTCGTCAATCTCGATTGTAGAGTAACTACATATGTATAATATATAAAAATTCGTTTAACATAAATTAAATGAAATAAATTTACATAAAATAAATTTAGTTTACAAAATAACGGAAACAATTATTGTAGAGTAACTACATATGTATAATATATAAAAATTCATTTAACATAAATTAAATGGAATAAATTTAGTTTACAAAATAATGGAAACAATTATTGTAGAGTAACTATATACGTATAATATATAAAAATTCATTTAACATAAATTAAATAAAATAAATTTAGTCTACAAAATAATGGAAACAATTATAAAAATATAAAAAGTGGCCCTCCAAACTCTTTAATTAAAGTCTTAATTTTCCGTTACTTGAAATTTGACCTACGAAGAGACATTTGCGTACAAATGAGACATCAAATGAGCTAATTGTATATATTAAGAATGATTATCATTTTAACACGACAAACTAAAGCATCGCGTTTCATATTTCATTTCTAGCACATCTATTAATAGAAATCTCCGTTGAATCGTTTCCAGACTCGTCCGAAATCCTACGAGGGTGGAAATTTTTTTCAAAGAAAATGGAGTTGGCCTGCGTCCGAGCGAAGGCGACGTGATGACTTTATCCAATCGACTCGATTTCTCATCCGCATTCGTTCTCTACCCGCAGGCTGACCCGCAATCCCAGGGAGGAAAGAGAAGGAATCGTGGCGAGGGAGAGAAGCGCCCATGACTTATGGTCGCCATTACGGTACCGATAATTATATGCTGCTCCGCAGCCGCTCCCTCCTGTACGAAAGGAACGAGAGGTATATGTATGTATGGTAGATGATATCCTGCCTGTGCCCGACGAACTTCGAACAGCCGACCTCTAACGTAACCGCACACGCACATCAACCATACGCTCCTCCTGGCTCATTGATCGACCCGATCGATACGTTCCGGTATTTCAGAAGAGTTGGAAAGTAATTGCCTTGATATATAGGGTCGATCGTTAATATGTGCAATCTGTTCCGTTGCCACATGTGCTGGCGCGAGTGTCTAGAGAATTTTCAGCGTCCTCTATATTATTATAATCGATTTTGTTAACGATGATTAATGCTGTAAATAATTTGCGGAAGTATCGTAGGTACGTATCGAGGTTTAACGAATCGGAACCGATTTTAATACGTCAATATTTATGTATCGATAATAAATTACGAGGCACCCAAGACAGACATCTTTTTATTTTTGAAAAATGCCTTTCGAGCAATCGATCGACAAGGGAGAAAGACACGTCATTGCACGAAGGCATGAGGCAACCAGAAACACCCTCAATTGCGGAAATGGTGGTCGTATATATCGAAGAAAGGACTCGGTAGAGAATCTCCTCACGATTCCCTACGGCCCACTTATTACGCTGATTCTCTTACGGAGGCACAATCATCTAATGTATTTCGTAATGATCCTTAACGTCTCAAATTGACTCAATTAATAACAGATAGACTAAGCTGGAGATTTCTTGGACATTGTTCAAATAGTCGGACTTTACACGGGGGGATTAAAAAGGCATTTTGCCAATAGCTTCGTGCTTAATATCCGTGGGAACACCAAGCAGGAAATTATTTTCGGCATTTTTAAGCGATTATTAACGATACCATCTTACATAACGCAATTTTTCACTTTATACAACATGCAGTTTCTCTATAAATTGCGCCCCTGATTTATCAATCTTACAAACGTATCGCGTGCCCCCGCGCTAAAATATTCACAGCGATAATTCGCTCTTGCAATAACAATCTTGTCGAACGTTGAATTTGTTAAGGAAAAAAAAAATACGAAGCGATTTTTGACGCAGATCGCATCTCGCGCGTTAACAGAAACACGATTGTCGGGTTATATTTCGCTCTACAATTGAGATCGCGTCACTTATTGAGACATCGCGATGTGTGTTTAATGCGCCGTTACGTCACGCTTCGTGACTTTTATAGTAACAAATCGGGACAGCATTGTGCCCGTGCATGAGCATCCACCACGATATTACGGCCCACATGCGCGCGTGCGAACGTCATTAGCATAACCAACAAGCTCAACACGGCGCCCCGCGCAGGATGCAGACGCGCCGAACACAGAACGTTGTTAGCTACATGTGTAAAGTTAAAGGGAGGGAGGGACGCGCGAACGCGCGCGCGCGCGCGAGGACGAGCAGCAGCGAATTCATGAGAACACACCAGGTGTATTCCACTAGTTCTCTCTTGATCTTCCGAGATACGTGCTCTGATACGTATTCTTATGACCCCGTATTCTTTACTCGTAAATTATTTTCTCGCACTTTTTTTCGGTTTCTTTATATTTGTATCCTCCAATCCATCGATATATAATTTTCTCGCACAATTTTCTTTCTTTTTTCATCTATATATTTTCCTCGAATAATGGGCCAAACTCGATCCAAATTACAAGTATCAAATGATAAAACATTTATGTTATGAATTTATTAATCATCCATTTATATGTAGATTATTTATATATTAATTTATAAATTTCAATGATAAAATTATAAATTTAAGTTTTATAAAAATTATACCTTTGGAGCAGAATAGCATTTTCCTGAGTCATATAATATTTTTTAATTTGTCCCATCATGAAATTAATTAAAGATATATTTATGAGAGAAATGACAGATATCTTCGATATTTTTACTTTTAACTTCTACTGCGACGAGAGAAGACAAAACTAATAATCAAATTCGATAACTCGAGCTTTCCTCTGGAATAAAACATCGGAGAGACTTGGAGTTTTTTCACTTGGGACATTATTACGTAACCAGCGTCGCGCGTTCCCTTTATTGTTTACGAGCGTGAGCTTCTTAAATTCGTGTTATTTTCGTCGCAAGATGAATGGCATGCGGGTTTTCTGGCAACAACGACGCGTCCGAGAAAAGTAGGAAGTGGAGTAGAGAAATCGCGGAAGAAGACAAGGACGCGCGACGCGGTGGAAGCGAGGATACGAGAGAGAAGAGAGAGTTCATCCTCCCCCGTCTTAGCCCCCTCTCTCCGAGAAAAAGTTGGAAGTTGTTCTTGAGAAGCGTCGTTCCCGTGAAGAGATGGTGAGCGGCACGTCGACTGCCGCCTCGCCCCCGTATGTCGTCCTCCCCTCCTTTGTTCGCGTTGTCTCTTCCCTCTTTTTTTTTTATTTTTTTTTCGCGCGCGGCCAAGAGGCGCGCGACGCCTTCGGGGCGCCATGCCTTGTTATCCGCATGATGTACGGCGCGTTAATTGCTACGACCAACTAGCGACCGCGTTTTACAGCAAAATCGATGAGCCAATTGTTCGCGCGCGATTCCCTCGCCCCCCGCAACGATCGAGGGACTTGACGAGAAACCGATTCTGACACATTGGAACGCATCTTGGCTTTATGTAAAAAAAACAGACCACTCGATATAGATTTTTTTCCTTCGAACTTACATCCGTACTTTGCGAAATATCCGTCACGCGAAAATGGGCAACTACTTTTTTTTTCTTTAGTACGTGAAACGTTGCCTTCTATAAATTGTCTGGAATGTTGACATCCTCCGCCGCTATGGTTTTGGTTTTGCGTCCGGCAACGAGATCCCCCTCTGTTGGCCCTACTTCCTTAGTCCGTCCGTCGGCATTCGTGATTTATCGCAACGGAAAATAGGAGAAATAACAAGGGACGTTGGCTTGCGTTATACGCCTCGCTCTATCCCAGAATAAAAATGTACTTTGGACCCCGCAAACCTGCTATAACCAGGCGGTTTTTGAATCGTGCATGATAACTGTATCAAATATTTGTTTCGGGAGGTTCCAACTAGTTTTTGGCTTATAGTAAATCGTCTCTTTAAAAAGCTTTAATCTCTTAAATTTTTCTCTCGCTTTCTCACTCTTTAAAAAATTATATAAAAATTTAAAGTCAAATAAAATAAATATCAAATATAGGTAGAAATAAAATTCTTCCAATACATTTTTTGCCTTATTGTTCATCGATTAATTTCTTTCGCTCGTTTCTATCGACCTTGAAACAATACGGAAGTGTGAAACGAGAAGAAAGGTCAGGAGATCGCTGGAGGTTCTTCTCGTATTAACATTGTCTTTTATATTTCGTCCGAGAAAAATCAGAGAAAGTTTACGTCATTGTAAACTGACGGGACACACAAAAAGAAAAAAAATTTAAGAAATTTCATGAAAGCATTGTCTGTTGCATCACCGTTGGGCTATCGTCCTCGTCCTCTCGCCTTCCTTCTTTCTTAGCTAACCGAAAAGACCTCGTATATAATAAAAAAATTTATGACTTATTGTGTTAGCCCGGTCTGCGAGCTGTCTCTCTCTAACATCTCTCGCGGCGCTTGCTTCTTCTCCCATCCTTTGCTCCTTTATAACGTATATTTTTTTCCACATATTTATTAGATATCATCTATTTATCGAGTTAGCATCTCTCTCCAAATAACTCTCCTTTCCCGAGAAAGATAGAGACATCTCTTTACGATTTAAGCGCCGAGAATCAACACGTTATCCGTACGCAAGTGATTTCTCGCCCCGATATCGAGAAAGTAAATCGTACTTATTAATGACAGAGTCATGAGAACAGTCACACATGCGGGGTATGTACATAGTTTGCGTGCTCGCGGTAATCAGTATAATGATCAGTGGCTGAATTGACGTATCGCCAAGATAATATATATGACGGCATATGGCGGCAGATGCATTGCGCAGCGTGACGTGCTCTAACGCGTCATTGATAGCCCTCTGCTCCTCTTCCCCTCCCCCTCTCCCCCTCGTCCCCCGGTACCCTGTCCCCCTCGCTCTTCCCGTTCCTCCCGTCACTCTGCCGCCCTCCATCAAATTTTCCTATCACCCCAGACTACTCCCTTCATTTCCTGCCCCGACGATCCCCCTGCTCGCCCCCCTCCCCCCTCCCGTGCTGGCTGTGCCTCATCCTCTCCTCCCCTTCTATCGTGGAACGGAAGGGACGTAATACGAGCAAGGGGGACCCACGGCCAACCAGCGTCATCGCTTTTAGGGATAAGAATTCTATCTGTGCTATAGAGCCCGAGCCCTTTTTCGACGCCGATGTTCGGCGGAAAAAAAAAGAAAAGAAGTAACACGGTGAGAAATATCGCAATGTCGACAGTTCGAGCAGTGTGTGTGTGTGTGTGTAAAGAATAACATGCGCCAATGTTGTTCGTTGTATTCCTGCATTTATATCGTATAATATACGCGCGAAAATTCGTTTATATATGATTTGCAATAAAATACAGTTTTATATATTTCATGTTCGATTGAAATAATTTCTCAAAACTAATATATAGTCTCTTTTTATGATTTCGATCAAAAATACCTCTTGTGTATCGATGAATCGCACGTTCTTGTAAAATAATTAATTTAAAAAAATATAATCGACATATTTATAGGTATAAAAATTGGCAAATCTAAATCAACGTCTTTCGGTGATCGATTAAAAAGCGAAGCTAGTAAATTATAAAGCATCGACGTAATAGTATTAAAAACGAAGCTACATCATGTAAGTCTCCTAATTTAAAGCGCTCGGGAGAAAAAGTATCTTTTCTTTTTTTTGAGAAATTTCTCACGTACATACTACGTTTCGAAAAGTCGTCGCAAGTATCCGATCGGTATGTCGATGAAATTTGTTGACACGTCAGAAGAAAAACGGAATTGCGGCGCATTGTAAAACGTCAGAACGAAATGGCCAGACGATCATCGCCATCGCCATCGGCAGTCGGGCCGCTGCAAGAAACCGGATAAATTGCGGTTAACACCGGAATCTGTGTTTTTGCATCGACCGCACAAGCCGCCTTGAAATCTACTGCAGATCAATTACAATTAAGGACGGTTAGCGAATTGCCAAACGTTTCAAGCACGCGGTGCAGATATATATTCCGCGCCTCGTGCGCGGCCCGATAAGGACTTTCTCGGAAGACGTAATTTCTCATCATTAATCTTTGCCGCGCGTCTTGCTCCGCAATGAACAATCCTGCTTATGAATTGCTTCAGCGCGTAATCTGACTTGACATAACGCGGACAAAAAATCCATCGATATCCGAGCACTTTACTACTTTAGCTTCTTTGAATGAAAATAAATTGCGTGAACTTTTGCGTGACTCTTTGAGAAAAATTTTATATATAACTGACATTTCAAAAGCATATTTTATATATAATTGACATTTCAAAAGCATAACTTTAAGATTGAAGTCAGTCGTGCATTTATTAATATTGCAACAATTAATCAGAAATTCTATAAAGATAGAACTCTTTTTTATTCAATCCAATAAAACGATTGTGTTTATACAGGTGGACAAAGAGCAAAGATGTATCGCGAAAAAATTGTAATAATTAAGATAACTCTGTCCGCGTGCTTCGTCGGCGCGAATTTTGATGAATAAGCGGAAAGAGTATAACGAATTTTGGCAGGATCATTGATCAGTCGTTATGAGTTTTGTAATGTAACGCTCGAAGCGTATTTCATTCGATGTTAATTTAATATCACGTTATCTTTCGTACGTTTCGCGATTTGTCATAATTCTATCGCTGGTCATAATTCTAAAACACATCTTTTTACGAGAAAATGATGCTCCTTAAAATAGCTATCGTTCACCTTCTCAATTTTAAATTGACAATAAATGTACGATAGAATTAACTGTATTTCATATCTAATAGTTAATATATTATTCGTGTTCTCTAATAAATCACGACTCTGTAAATTGCACTCTCTATCAAATCTCACTCAAATCCAATCCTTGTACTGTGAAATTTCTATTTCTCAGTGAAATTATTTTCTAAGATGAAGCACGCGTGTTTACATGTCGTTAATTTTCAGACAACAATTCAAAAAGGGGAATTAAAAACATTGGACTATTCCGCTCACCTCCGTCGCTTCTTTTTCCGTCGCCTCCGTCGGCGAGGTCGCCTCCTAAGTTCCCCCCTGTTCAAGGGGGTAGTTGCTCTCCCTTGTAGTTTCAGGGCCGTTGCTGCTACGCTAAACTCGACTTCTTCCCCTGTCTCGCTTCTTCCCTGCACCGGGGGCCTTGTCTCCGCCCCGGCGCTGGGCCCCGTCGTGGCTGGTACTTCCCTTCGCGCACCACCACCTTCTCGGAAGTCTTTGTCCACCAAGAGCGAACGGATTCGCCGACAGTCACCGAGCCAGGTACGACGGGAAACTGCGTGGGATCAGAAAAACCCAACACCGTCGACGAACCATGTGTCCTTCGAACAGACTCACTGTCTATTGGGTAGAGCAACCATGTGAGTCCATTCACCATCACCCTCCTCTCGCTGGGCCCTCGCGAGATCTTCGCAAACGGTTCTACGCGAACTCGACGAGTCGCACGGAACACTCTCGGCACGTTTCCGATCGGATCGTGATGGTGCTGCTTCTCGAAATGAGTTTCTTACGAGTCTCTTGGATTGTCTTACAAGGGGATTTCGCGAAACGATCAGCTGACCGCAGAGCCGCGCGTGCTGATGAATAACGATAAAAAATAAGCGAGCGATCGGTTTAGCGCAACATGAAGCGGATCAGATCATCCGAAATTATTCTCCTCCACGCACCTCTATTCGGATGAAATCGCCGACGAGAACCTGAGTTATTGGTCGTACCTTTTCAAGATAAAGCAAGGATCGCGAGGTCAACTGTATTCGATGATCTGCGATTTAACTCGATCGACAAGATCTACAATGTCCAAAGTCTACAATACAAAACGCAGATTCGAAACGAGATTTTCTTGTACCAGCGCAAAGTCCAGCCTCGCTTTCCAAACGAAGAGTGTTTCCTCGCTCGCTTTTAATTCTTCCTTAAACTATTACACGATGAATCGATGACGAAGCGGTTGGAATTGTCAGAAATGTTCGCTCGACACAATGTCGCACAGCTTCTCCCTAGTCGTCAACGTACAGCCTTAGCGCGAGCCGAGGCTCGATGATCCCGAAAGTTACAATATTTTTTTCAGAGTACCAGAGAGAAAATAAATCGTCGATCCTTCAGGATTTGTTAACTGGAAGTCGATGGTCGTGTCGCTTCGGACTCGCGTCTCGCTGCTGCGAATCTGTCGGGCAGCTCGCTGTCGCACTCGAAGGCGCACCGCACGTGTGTCGCGTCGCGCGAGAAACCGTAATCTCGAGGGTTATCATTCGTCACCGGAGCAGATCCGTCCAACGACGCAGCATCCCGTCCGCGATCGGCGGTCCTCGCGGTTGGCGCTCGGTGCGTGTCAGCCAGCGTCGGGACGGCACTGCGCTCGCCGATACCCATGGAAAGCCGCGGACGGTGCCGCGGTGATGTATATCTTAAGCGAGAGATGCGACGACTCTGATCCGCGAATTCCGCCCGCTCAGTTTCGCAGCCTCCGAGCCGGCGGCGGGACCGGAGCGCCGCGACGCGAGGCGCCCTGTGCACATGCGTTAAGCTTCGCTCTCCCCCGATACACCCGCGACTCCCCCTCGGCGATCCTTCTCTCTCTTTCTCTCTCTCTCTCCTGCTCTCGCTTTTCTCTCGACGCCCCCGTGATCCGCCACGATGGTGGTTGTCCCGTCTCCCCCTCGTCTTTGGGAGACACGGGGAGACTCGAGGGGCACCGCGGGACACTCGAGAGACGTCCATCGTGTTACGCTGTTCCTTTTCCGCGTCAACAAGGACGGAGCGTCTAACCGGCGCTCTTTGTTGCCGATTACGTCACGCAATTTCAATAACGCGACTCTCGTAATATCGAAATTAGATGGAAATATGGATGAAAGAAACTTGACAATTTTTCGTGTCTCTCTACTTTTCCAGATATTCCAAAGTCGAGATTAGTCGTGTGTCTTGGAATTTCTCGTTACGATAGATAAATTATAACGATATTATTCGCAGATAATCACTAATATACAGGGTGTTCTAAAAAGATGTGTCAAAAATTTCAGGAGATATTCCTCACACTTGAAGGATGGAAAAATGTTATATGGACATAGATGCGGAAATGCTTATTTCAGGAGGTATGTTGAAAATACTGTTAGCTATTACTTACACAAGGAAAAATTTAGGATTAATTATTGTAGACGACATTTAATTAGGCTTATTTACATTTGGTTTTAATGTGACCTTTTTTTTTTTTTTTTTTTTTTTTGAGAGTATGTTACAATAAATGTTGAAAATCTCATTTTCCTAAATACAAGCAGTGACACGTCGACGCATCGATTCACGGATACGTTCAAAAATGCCTGGCGTACAGCGGATTGTCAACCTGCAATGATACGGTCACAAAGATCTTGAATATCACGCACTGGTGTAACATGTACGATTGTCTTCAAGTGTCCCCACAAATAAAAGTCTATCGGAATAAGATCTGAGGAACGTGGAAGCCACAAAGTAGGTCCACCTCTTCCTATCCACTGTAAGTGTGATTCAGAAAATCACGACTAATACGGCTGAAATGAGAAGCTCCATCATGCATAAAGTACATGTTTTGTCGAATCAATTCATTTTCAACATTTATTGCAACATACTCAAGATCACATTAAAACCAAATGTAAATAAGCCTAATTAAACGATTGTCGTCTACAATAATTAATCCTAAATTTTTCCTTGTGTAAGTAATACAGCTAACAGTATTTTCAACATAATTCCTGAAATAAGCATTTCCGCACCTATGTCCATATAACATTTTTTCATCCTTCAGATGTGAGGAATTTCTCTTTAAATTTTTGACATATCTTTTTAGAACTCCCTGTAATTCCGAAAATCTAATATACTTTGCGTTCTATTTCCAGGTTACAAAATGACGCATCGCTTTTCCCGAAGATATTGGATTACATGTAATCATTTAATTTATCGTAGGCGTGCATTCTCACAATTGTACGGTAGAAGGCGAAAGAGACACGCAGCCTCGGGGATTAAATCACGAATCTATTTCTTCCTTCGACTAATTTTAATCCCCAGAAATAGGCTGAAAATAGCATCGCTGATGCTAACTAAACCTCGCGCACATCGCATCGCATCGCATCCACGTGCCACTCATTCAAGCTTCTATCAACCGCGGGCGTACGCGATTCGAATTGAATGCCGAGCTTTTCGAGCCTCGGAACGTGCACGGCCTACAACGCCGAGAAGGCCGCGAAGAAAATTGCAGAAAATCCCGAGTCCGTCCACGCCGCTAGAAAGTCGCTGACGGATTCGATCGTCAATCTTTCAGCGATCGTCGTAATCCTATCAGACGATCCTACCGACGTCGACTCGCGCAAGTTGGAACGTTCAAATGCCTTTCGAGAGAACGTTGCGTTACGATAGCGAGACAAACGCGCCGATCCGATTATACTCGGATAAAAAATCTATATCCATTAATTATCAACTTCTCTTATGGCATTAAAGCGCACGACTTTGCGCGAGAGTTCGCCCTCCTTTCAAAAATCTCATGATTGATTCACTTTTGAAAATAATTTTTGTTTATACGGATTTCTCAAAGAGACGAACGAATAGTTTCTTGATGAAAGTCGACGAATCTATGATTTAATTATTCTAGTATTATTGATTAAAATGATATTTTGCGGTATTGCATGATTTAATTAATTATTGCATTCTGTAAAAAAATATATGGAACATAAAATATGTAATTGAAGCATTCATTACACTGTAAATATTAATCGTGCTTTGTTCGAATGTCAATTATTATACACATTAGCATATATTGTTTATATGATATTAATTACTTTTTAGCAAGTTTAGAATCTTATACCTGGCATCACTGTAACATAATTGTAAAACCGGATAAATTATACTGACGAAGAAGCATTATTAATGTCTCGATAATGTAACATGATTTATTATATATGAATATAATTCTAAAATCTCTTTTGTCAAAATTTATCTTTATAAACTGATTAAAATATACTAAATGTGATGTAATGCCGGTAAAGATAAAATATAACGTGAAAATATTAAAACGTTATTTTACGGAGACACTTGTAAATTACCGTGCGCAAAAAAATGTATAATGTAATACACCTACTACTATGGAATAAAAGTTATATTTTTTATCGAAATTTTTTTGTGTATTTTTAGTTGCATCTAGCTATCGCGCAAATACGTGCGAAACATCGTGCAATAAGCACGACACACAAATATATAATCAGGTATATAGTTTTTAATGTTGTTAAACCGTAAAAAGACCTCTCTGCATAAATTCTTGGGTGAAGAACGCAAATTTATGACATAAATACGAGCGTATTTTCGAGACGCCAAGTTGCTATTGCAGGTTTAACTCGCTACGAGAGATTTAAGGGACACCGAGAGTGCTAAATTTTCGGACAAGTGCGGTAATCGTCGTGCGGATCGCAAGAAATTAACGGGACACTAAGTTGTAGAATGCTGAGCGTAGGGAACGTAGCATCGAGAAATCACAAACTGGGCAGTTACCAAGACAGCAAAAGTTCGCACGTCGGTGGCGAAGAAAAAAGAGAACAAAGGGAAGAAGAGGAGAGAGAGAGAGAGAGGGAGATCCGAAGAACAACTACAGTGAAGTAGATAAAGACGGAGGGGGCATAAACCAACGGGCAGCGGCCGTGAAACAAAGCAGGAGTTGCCGGCCGTGTAATTGAACTTTTTGGGACTTGATATCTCCTTTTTCAAAAGAAGCTGCAACGGAATTTTTCTTCGTCGTTTAATCGAGCTCTCTTTTTCCGACCTACTTATTAAACACCCTCGTATATAATTTAAAAAATGTCTTGAAACAAATATCGTTTCAATGAAATCTTAGTTACAACGAGATTTGCCATAAATTCCCGAGCGTTGTAAGCCGCGACATAATGACGCCGTCAATAGCGAGGACAATATCGCCAGCAGTGTGAGAAGCAACGAACCGTTCATTTGTCCAGTTAGCTCGCGATTGTAGACGCATTGGGACTACTACCGTACCCTCGTCTTGGGTAGTCGCATCACATACACACGCATACAGACGCAAACGTCTATTCGCGCCACGGGCCCCTTCTCACCATCGGTAACCCTTCCTCCTTCTACTTCTCTTTCATAGCCCACGCAACCAGTTGTATCTCTCACGATCGTAAGATACGCTCAGCATTCGTCTGCAAATGGTCGGGGATGGTTGCGTGAGTATGTGCCACCAGAACTACGTGACCTAGTTCGTTGATGAAGCGCGTGATACCCGCGTGAAATGAACAGACAATTGAAGAACGTTTCGATTTGCCGTCTTATTGTACATCGCCTGATAATGAACCATCTGCCGACAAAAGAGAAGGTTTTCTCGCGTATATTTTGAATTTAATTTCAATATAAGTAAGCGTTTACGCAAGGATAATAATACGATTATCGATTCAAGAAATTGGAGTATTTGAAAAAGTATTATTTCGCGAGTCCTTCAAAGTTTCGTTGAAAAGTTGCCATTGTAATTGAAATATATCATAGCTCGCTTTGACGATAATTATTATTAATGTTGCAATATTGCGATACAATCTCTGTAATAAAATTGCAATTGACGCAAAATACATTATAATTCCAATTGCATAATTGAAAGCAGACCCACGCGATTAGTATTATCGCCGGCGACGTATTAAAGGAATATAAATTCGATTGGTACGATACAGTTTTCACTCGCTTTATACCAAGTAGTCTTAAATTAAAATTCAATGCAAGTTGTATCTTTTTGGATCTGCAGACTACGTGCCAACGCGATATCGCTTTTCCGTTTCCGTTTGCAGAGCGTCGACATTTACCTTAGAAATATTCCAACAAGAATGTCGAGCTTGAAAACTACAAAGTGTAGAGAGAGACGATTATACAAAAAGTCATTATTGGAAATTACATCGGGGCATTTTGCAGTGAAATTATTTCAGAAATTCCCTTTTACGCGCGTGTGCGTTTTTCACTCTATAAATTTAAACGTACGTATATAATTATCGCTCGTCTCGGGTAAGGTTTTACCTTGACTTAAATGACGTAATGACGTAAAAAAAATATATATATATATATATATATATATATATATATATATTCCCTATCGAGCGACTCGCGCTCTTCATTCGAGTAGGGTGATAAGAAAAATAGCGACAAACAAGCGCGACGCGTGAACGTCGCGGTGGCGGTGCGTTTTTTTCACGCGTCACCGACATTTCGCGAGCGTCGGGTAGATTATACCGACGCATAAGGGAGAATCCAGCCCTATGGTAGGAAATTCTCTGCGGGAGTAGCCCGTGGAAGCGGAGCCAGAGAAGTTTCGCTTCGAGAGCGTGACGGGGGTGGAACGAAGGGTGGCGTGGAACGAACGGAACCGAGAAACGCTGGTGAAGGAGGATGCCCGGGGGGGGGAAGGAGGGTGGGGGAGGGGCACGGGGGAGAGAGAAGAGAAGCGGGCTGACGACTAGGGGGGTGGTCTAAGGGGGTAGGCGAGGGGATGAGCCCAGAGTTGGAGCGATGGCAGAGTATTGATTTAGTGGGTTTCACCGTCTCCTTCTATTTGTCTCTCTCGTTCTATATCTCGACGCGCGACTCCACCATCTACAGCCGCACGAAGAGAGCGCATCGGCTTCATTGTTTCGATGCCGTCGTTTTCTTAGCTCGCGGGAAGGGCACGCTCTATTTTTGCGAAATGAATAATCTTGCTTGGAAACTAGAAGATAAAGAGACGCCCGCGCTAGTAGCGGTTACTATTATATTTAAGCCCCGTTTTCACGATTCTCTCCCTTCGCGGAGCGTAATATATCATTTTCGCGAAGAGTTATTAATTGTATTAAAAAAAAAAAAAAAAAATTAACACGTTCCCAGCGATTGATATACTCGCGGCAACATTCTTACAACGTGATTTACGTGGAATTTATTTCGAAATAATTAGTAATGGCATATTTTCGGCGTATATATACAGATGCCTTTTTTTTCCCACGTTAAATCTTGCCCGATAAATCAAGCGGGGCAAAAGTACCGCTGAAAGTTCAGTATGTGTATAAATTCAGAAACAGTTACCGATTGAATAATCCGCGATCACACGAGCCCCGGATAGAACGTAAAACCGGTTTTGAAAACGAGTCAAGTTCAGAACGCATAAATCGCAATATATCTCGATTATACGTACGAAACGTCACATTTTCGGAGAGAAGA